GCCCGATTCAGTAGTCTCAGAACTGGTCAACAGCTCAGGTAAAAGGAGTCCCTTATCTTTTTTAAGACAAAAGATACAAAACTGTGCACTGTGGTCTGAGTGAGGCATTTAACATAACTTTTCTATTACTTATATATGATAACACATATACATATGCATTTCTAATTCTTACTTCTATTGGTTACTAGTTAACCCATCTATATTATATCAGGTGACACGCTCTTTATTATAATTTTTACGCTTCTTATGTTAATTCTTAATGACCTAACTACAACATTTACCAGACTTTGCTTGCATAATATGCGGTTATTTTTGTCATTGCGGTTTAGCCGTGCAGTTTCCTGTTTTAACAATATAAGCTGCTTGTTTGCAATTTTTATCATATTGTCAGCATTTCTATTCAAAGGTCAGATAGTGATCACCAGAATGTCAATCGCTGACTTCTCAACCTCCTTGAAGCATTCTGGGAGTTTTAGTGCGTTGTTAATTATGCTAGCCCTTGCTTAGCATGAGCACTATCTCACAAATTTCTCTTAGTAATCTGGTCCAATGTTTGACCACCCTCATAGCCAGAAAATTCCTTCTAATGTCCAACCTAAATTTTCCCTGTTGAAGCTTGAGGCCATTGTTCCTAGTTCTGTCCTCTTTGATCACATCTCCATCTTCTCTGTAATCATCCATCAGGTATTTGGAAACTCTTACCAAATCTGCCCTCAGTCATCTCTTCTCCAAAATTAAATAATCCTAGTTCTTTCAGAGGAACGACTGGTAAGTGGTCTGGGTGTTAACAGATGCAGATGCTCTGCCACAGAAAGGCCTCAAGTCAGTCATTCAGGGCCACATCCCCAAAGGCAGTTGAGTGCTGTGATGTTCAACATTGCAACACCTAAGCTTTAGGTGCCTGAACCCCACTGGAGGAGCCACAGCTCTCAGTTGGGCATCTAAACTCCCTGTTCAAGGGGGAGAGTTAGCTGCCTCAGACTGGGATTAAAACAACCAGAATGCTCAACAGTTTAGGACCTTTCTACACTGACTAGCCAATAAGAAATGCTCAAGGAAGGGATGCATCTCAAATCTAGTCCTTCAGGAGCTTAGGCAATAAGATTCATAGCATAGAGCCCTCTTCTGCAAGTAGGTACCTAAACTGATCCTTTTCAAAAATGGAGGATCTGCTCTTTTGTAAAGCATTGGAGGAAGTACTGGTGGAGAGGTGACCTTCCTCATTTTTATACATTAGCCTAATAGGATATGATAGTTCTGGGTTCAATTCCTTTCTCAGTCTGAGTGGGGTCAAATGTACTCCTCCCAGGAGAGTCCCCTAAACATCAGCCTACAAATCATTCTGGGCCAAAATCACACTCTCCATCTCTCCTGCTGTAGCTTAGGCAATAGCTGCTAAACGAATTCAAGATTCACTGGGTGAGAGAGCGAGCCAGCAGGAGCATGACTGTAGCCTTGTAATGATGGCACTCACACAGCCTATGGAAATACCCTACTCAACACACCATCAACAGGAAGCTAAAATTCTCACTGGCCAGGAACTGAAATATTGTACAAACCTGCAGGCACTCTAGCTACCCGCTGTGTACCACCTCCCCCAACCCTGATATTTAGTCATTTTTGGGGGATGGGGGCTGAAAAAAAATAGAGGCAAAAAAAAAAAAATCGCACAGATTCTTGGATTTGGGTAGTTCTATGCAAAATCAGAAACATATGGGCATATTTTTGTTTAATGATTTTTTTTAATTGAAGATGCTAACATCTAAGCAAATTATCGGCACGCTTACAAATTAAAATAGCATCCTTCATCATTGTCCACTGTTTTCCTTTTGATAAGTACCTTGTGCTATTAGTTTGTCAATCAAGCCAGCTTCCCTCATCACTGCTGGCCCTTCTTCCACTCCTTTCTGTACCTATTAATAACAAATATAATGTTAAATTCAGCAGCTTGGTTCTAGACAGCTAAATCAGAAACAAACCTGGTTACAGCATAACTTAGATGAAACAGGGGGCTATGTATAAATTTGCTTCCCTAAAATACTTGATTAGAAAGTAAAACAAATCAGGTAGCTTATATCTGATTTTCTGAAGTAGGCACTATGAGATGACAAGTCGCAAAGATCTATGCAGGAAATGTATTTAAGCCTCAAGCCTGAAAGCTGATCAGTGCAAAGTCCCCTTACATGTAACTAGATTCTGCAAGGGGTCTGATGTACAGGTTTAACTGGGGGTGCTAACTGGGGTTTAACTTTGCAGAGGTCCAGGCACAGAAGATCTAACTGCAGGATTGGTGCTCTAGTGAGTATAGAAATCATCACAAAATTAAATTGCTGTTTTGATGGTCCTGGAGCTTAAAAGAACAACTCCCCAGACCTTTTTTTTTTAAAAAGCCCTTATTAATCCTTTTGACCAGAGTAGATGGTCAAAAAATTCAATCTTGCAGGTGATTTCAGTGAAAAAGAACAATTGAAGGAGGAGCCGGGTACTGTTGACATTCTTGTCTTTATTTACAAGAATGTGAACGGTCTATTTTCCTAAACAAAGGACAACTCAGACAAGCCAGAGACACTTTTTCCTTGCTCTCAGCACCCAGACTCTTGCCACCAGCAGCCAGCCCAAAAGCCCTCTCACCAGGACTCTCAGGATCACATGCCATGCTTGTTCAACCTGTGCTGGAGCTTACTACTTTGCTTCTGTGGTGCCTCTGCTTGTTTCTTCTCCTGCGCTGTTTCTTACTTTAGCTAGACAGCCAACGACACACTTTCTTTCCTTCCCCAGATTTTTTGAATTCTTGAGCAAACCTACCTATCTCTTTATTTTGGGCAAAGGTACATATTTGCTTTTAGCAGGGTTTGGAGAATGCTGCTGTTTAACTTCGTAAAGGAAAGGCAGCAGTTGGAACTATCAGTTTTAACCAGGCTTAATTCAGCCTCTGAAAGTATTGTACAGGTATAAAGCAGAATTTATTCTGAAAGAAGAAGAAAAATGTTATTCTCATGCTATAGCAACTCTATTCTAATTTTCAGATCAATAGAAAGTCTCCATCTGGGTTTGAACAGGCAGCTGCTAGTTCTATCAGCGAATAAAATGGTCCACTTTCACATCCAGCCACCTAGGGATTCTTACAAAGGTACCTCGAGTCATTTCAAAGAAATGAAAATATTCTCCTATTGTATGTGTTCTGTTCTGTACAAAATGCCTGAAAGCCTATGTCATGGATACATGGAAGAAAAAACAGCTGTGAGCATAGGAGATGTTAATAACATGGAACAACTGGAGCACATCTTTTATCAGGCTTGCCTCATTAGCGAAAATGATCACCTCATTTTCAACACCACAGCATCATTTCTGGTAATTATTTCATAGTGACTGTAGACCTTGTGAACGGTCGTGAAATTAGAAAGCTTCTCAGAATATTGCTTTATAAGATTTAATGGGGGAACACACTTTAGCTGGCAAGGAGCTATGCACACAGCTCTGGGCACGCAACTTCCTCTGACTTCTTTGATGTGCTCCACAGAGAGCAGCCGTTGGACCAGGTCCAGTCCATTTGACCAGAGACATGCAGAGCTCTCATTCACTTTAATGCCCAGTTGCTTTAGAGGTAAGTTGGCTCCTCTACATATTTCCTCATGAGTGGTAATTCCTAGAGGCCCAGCCGGCTAGGAAACTGGGCAGCAGGGTTGGAGGACGGATTCACTGGTTTCCTTTTAAGTTTGTCTCCCACTTCCTCTGAAGTGGTCCAGCTTCAAGAGGAAAATTGCATTTCTCTTCTAACCCAGCTACAGAGCTGAACTGTCGCTGGGCTGCTTCATACTTTGAACTTTTAATTAAAATGCTGAAATAGAGATGGTCTGAATGCTCCCAAATCTGTACTTGAAGTACAAGGAAGATTTTAAAGCAGACTGGCTGCCTTTGAAGTTCATGGCTTACCCTCACAGGCAAAACAGACCTAGGATGGCCAAGAAACCAAAGCAGAGTTAGCTGGCTTCCCATGAACTGCGCTGAGGGATGTCCTCTCAGCAGCATTTCATGGCTGTCCAGCCCCTAGAAACAAATTGGCAGCTTGGCTCCCGAGAAGTAAGGTGTGATCATGTTAGTGGTCTTTACTCCTGTGAGCAGTTGTTTTGACTTGAAGCTAGGATTACTTGAGTGATCAAAATGAAAGCTGAATGTGTTTATTAGGGGACATATGAAGACATGTGAGACACCAGGATTCAAGGGAGGGTTCTCAAGGATCTGTGCAATTAAAACAACATATTTTATTAAAGTAACAGTAGCATCCAGAAATCCAGCAGGTACACCTCTATGCTTCCACCATAATGTACACATACACATTACTGTAGTATCTGAATAGCTCAGTTTTTCATTCATTTACCCTCACAACACCTCAGTAGGGAGTGGTGATGCTACTATCCCCATCCCACATACAAGAAACCAATAGACTAAGACTTGCCCAGGGTTACATTGGAAATATGTGGTAGAGCAGCGACTTGAACTTGATGTTGCCAGGTTCTGAACTTATGTCCTAACTGCTGGACCATCTATCTGTTGTATTAGGTTTTGTATAGGTACTTGACAGGAGGCTCTAAAAAGTTTACAGTCCATATCAGTGATGCTCAACCTTCATCCCATGGAACAAATGCAGCCCATGAAGCCACGAC